TATATATATATATACATAAGACCTTCTTTTAGTTTAGTTTTTTTTTTTTTATACTCTATAGGGAACTTGAACAATTAAAATTACTAACGTTTTAACTATATTGCAATATGCCAATTTAAATTATGAAAAATCATGGAGTGAAAAGTTGTGGCCTTCTCTTATAGTGAATATAGGTTACATTTTTATAGCTTAAATTAAATATTTATATTTCCTCAAATATTGCATGCAGTGCTCTTAAGTAAAATTATTTTAATTCAAAGATTAGTACTTGGAATACAAATGGTAATAATCTGTTTTAACGATTTCTAAAATATCAAATTTTGAACTGATGGAAATTCTTTGATCAAAAACTGTGGGAGTAGTTTAGATTCCTCACAGTTTGCTACAGTTCTAAGCGAGCCATGTTCATTACACTTTAGCGTTTATGTTTCTGGGTGATTACAAATCTAAGTACTGCGTAATTGTACTTAGTATGTAATTATGTTTTTGTGGAGTAGTTTGTAATTGTAATTACAAATTATTTTAGTTAATTACATTTTTATATATAATTTATACTGAATGTGAAGTGTCACCACCATGTCGGTAACTATTGTGACATCTTTATTGATGGAGACCCAGAGTGACCATGAAGTGACCTCCAGCGGCGTGTCTCTCTATTGTGTGTGTCACTGTAAAGATGCAGGCCTCATTCTTCACAGGCAAGCCAGTGTTCCATGGAATTGTTCACTGCGCACATTCCTGCTATTCTGTTGGGGCAGTTCAGTGTATAGTTCTTTGTAGCACTGCACAGGACTAAATGGTGATGGCACTGATAGCATTGTTAGCGTTGGCTGCATTTTAACCATGTGACAAGACAAACGTAGCAAAACGTTGGGACATGGCAGGAATCTTGTTACATTCAAATATATTTGCATTCGTTTTCTTTCTTTCTTTCTTTCTTTCTTTCTTTCTTTCTTTCTTTCTTTCCTTTGGCATTAAATAATTTCATGATATGAATTCATTTTTCAATAATAGGTGAACTGAGGAGAATCTGACTCCCTTCTTGTATCGATTCCAGTTTCATTTTAGAAACACGAATACCCAATAAACACAAAGTACAACTTACTATCTGAAGATTAGAAAAAAATCCCATAGGTATAATGTTTGTGAGTATGTGAATAGCAGCGTTATGGGACATGCCTTTATCTAAAGTATCAGTGCAGCATAATGGGAGATTTGTGCTTAATATCCATACTCTACTCCCTATGGCCTTCTGTACATGAGACAACCATCACCTACTCCCACAATGCTCAATCACTGAGCGAGTGTGTGTGTGTGTGTGTGTGTGTGTGTGATAGCTGGGTTTTTCCCCTCCCATTGCAAAGATGTGTGTCAATCTAGTGTGCAGTGTTTTTTACCCCTTCACTGCTTTACCTCTGATGTGTTAGTGTAAAGACTCCTTTCCCCTCTCTCTCTTCTCTCTCCCTCTCTTTCTTGTTCCTTCTGGTAATCCATTTTGTCGGAGGTGGAGAAACAAAAGCAGTCTGCTCTACACGTTTTCAGTCAAAGGAGGTTCCCCCTTCTCTTAATTAGGAGATTACATCGCTTAGCAGGGTTTTGATGGGGGCACATCCATGGCTACATACACATGCAGATACAGCATGCATGAACAAGGGGCGAGTGGGCCATGAACTTCATGATAGACTGCTAGCGAAAGGCTGTTATGATTTAGATACTAATCTAAGTTAATAATTTTCCAAATTTATCGTCATCATATTAGCAGATGGGAGAGATTGTTTTGCCGCTGGGAGAGAGCGAGGAGAAGAAAGGGGACTGAGGGAAAAGTGTGATGTCTAGTCATTACCTCAAAAAGAATAAAAGTTCATTATTAAATGGCATTTGTGTTGCTTTAAAATTTGAGGGGAGAGCAGACGGGGTCTTTCGGGATTATGGAGTGAATAGATGAGAAAAACAGGAAAGAATGAAGGGATATAGGCTGACAAAGGGAAAAGGCGCCTGTCTGGTTGATTTGCCCTCTCACCCAATCAGGGCTCTACGCTTACTTTTCTTTTTAGGAGCACTTGTGCTCCTAACTTAAAAAATTTAGGAGCACGTTCAAAATTTTAGGAGCACCTTCTAAACAATTATCCAAAATTTTATCAAAAAGTAGCTTTCCCATTACGAGGTGATATTTGACTCCTCTAACTTTATTAAAAGTATGTCATCTTTTGTCAAATTATTAAAAAAATTATATTTTATAAGCTTTTTAAAAATTGTAATTAAAACGACAGAATAAGAACAAGAAGAATAAGAAATATAAGTTACCAATCAAATGAAATCAGTATTAACAAAATTAATTTGTAGAGGTGGCACAGAAGAACACAAAAGTGGCTTGGTGTACTTTCAGACATTTAATGAGGCTCAGAAGTGGAATGAGTGCAATTAAATCCATAAATTCATGATGATATTCATGTTTTAAATATACAATTTTGAATATAGAAATATAAAATGATTTAAATAACTGAAAAGATACTTTAAAAATGAAACAAACTGCCAGCAGGTGGCGGTAAGTCACTGATTTTTATCACTGAATCATTCATTCAATTGATTCGTTCGA